GAGTGAGCCCGAAGAGAATACTAACCATGATCCAGCGGTTGCAGCTTACACCGATTGATATCAATATTGTCTTCTTTGGCGAGAATTCACTCCCGTCCGAATCTGCACTCGGCGGTCGTTGACCGACGGGCGAGCCAGGCTTCGATCCAGACACGGAGTTAATCAGGAAAGCTTCGTCATTCTGATTCCCTGGGCTTTTGAGGAGCGACGGAGCTTGGAGACTCAATTTCAGACTGCGATTTATCTGAGCAAATACGCTTTGAAAGAATGGACGGTAGCCGGCACTGGAAAGGAATAAATCTATTCTGACCCACGCGGTTTGACGAGCTGTCGCAGCCGGAGCCTTCGCGTCGACTTTCGCGTATCGGGGTGCACGGGAAAAAGAAATACATCGTGATATCGATAATGAGAATATTCATCGATGACGATGACTATAGATATGTTCCTCACCACTCCTTGTGCGCCCAAAGGTCGAAAGTTTGTACTGCCTGCCTATGTACACTTGAGCGGAGGGCAAACTTCACCACGAGAGACGCTTGGGTCAGAATAACGGCACAGACCAGCGCCCAGTCGTAGCATTCGTACGCCGCGAACAAATCGCTCAATTGAGAAATCTGTTTTAGTATTCGTTCCTTCTCTTTCTCGTTCCAGGGGCCGGTGGGACCTTTGAAACGGAAGAAGCTCTTAGGCTCTATCTCGAAGGCCGGTCAAAGGGCTCTGGAATGAGAAAGAGAAGTGCTTCAGTCCGGAATATCGCCTACGGAGAAGCTCCGACGAAAAATCTCCCACGGTTGAGTGAGCCCGAAGAGAATACTAACCATGATCCAGCAGTTGCAGCCTTTGCTCCCTGGCTGCAAAGAAAGACGATTGTGTTCAGTGTCTGCATCGATTCTATGCATATTGTCTGTATATTGTAACGGAACAATGTCAGTCAAAGACACCGACTTCGACGGTTGTGACTTCCTCCGCTCGCAGAAGCGAGTACGCACTACCCAACGAACGTCCACGCGACGCGGAGCAGGCATGACTGGTCATATGTATATATTGCTATCATGGCTATAATTTTAACTTACAGAGAGCGTGGCCGATGACAAAGCCTATCGAGAAGACTGTGCCTATCCCAGCAAGAGTGCAAGCAACCGTCTTCACGTTTATGAATTTCAGCAGAGCCTGAAGAGGAAAAAAGCGATGCATACACTG